GGAGCTGGGGGTGCTCAGCCTGGAGAAGAGGAGGCTGAGGGAAGCCCTCATCGCTCTCTGCAACTGCCTGAAAGGAGGCTGTAGGAAGGTGAGGGTCGGTCTCTTCTCCCCAGTAACAAGCGATAGGACGAGAGGAAACGGCCTCAGGTTGCACCAGGGGAGGCTTAGGTTGGATATTAGGAAAAACTCCTTCACGGAGAGAGTGGTCAGGCACTGGCACAGGCTGCCCAGGGCAGTGGTGCAGTCACGGTCCCTGAAAGAATTCAAAAAACGTGTGGATGCGGTGCTTAGGGACATGGTTTAGAGGTGGAGCAGGCAGGCAGTTTAACGGCTGGACTTGATGATCTCAGAGGTCCTTTCCAACCTAAACGATTCTATGATTCTATAGCATACATGATCCTAGAGGGATCCTGAGCCTCAGTAATGATTTATAACCATTCTAAAAAAAAAAAAATAAAAATCTGTGAGACCAGTGTTTAATACATGCTTACCTGATGCTTTATTACCTTCTTTTTTAAATTAGAATATTGTGCAATTCTAAGCAAAAATCCTTTAAAAAGTTTATTACACCTTCCAGAGGAAATTGAATTATTTGTTGTCTCCTTGAAGCGTGAAATGAGATTTCGAATAGACCTCTGCCTGGCATTACTGGTTTTTTAATCTGAGTGACGTACCAACTTTTTTCGGTGTTCAGCTAGGAACTGTTCCTACATCTACATTTAATACATACCATACAACAGCCCTTTCTGAAGACAGATACCAGCCTGGCACTTTTTTTGCTTTCTAGAATTGCCCTAGTATCTCAAGGTTTACTGAAGAGGAACGTCAACAGACAAGGGGTCTCCGCCACCAGCTGCCTCAGAGCTCCTGGAGCACAGTCATCCCTAGAAGACAAGAGCTTCATTGGTTACTAATGGACTGAAATTTATCACATCACTGTTAAGTAATCCACCCACATATCTTACTGCTTCTTTACATAGATCATAAATGTTCAGTGAACACTTCTGCATCGTTATTGACATTTTAATCATGTCCATCTAGTAATGGGCCTGTACCATTACTAGGGTTTTCTGGGATTTAGCCTTGCCAGCTATGGATTTCCTTTGATGTGCTTCACTTCCAATAACTATGCTTCTCATAACTTCTCATTTATACCAACACTTTTTTATTTCCCGCTTTCCCCATTTTGGCTGTTTATTTTTAATTTTTAATCACCCTCTCCAGGCCACTAATAAAACAGGAATTGTCAATGTATTTTCTCTCTTGATTTTGAAATCATGGCTCTTTGATCGCTCAGTGAACTCTTTTTTAAAGAGCTTGTCATTGTCATTTTTAGACTTCTACCTAAATTTTTCTTCCTGCTTGCACTCTTTATTTTCTGATAAGTTGGAAATACACCTATTCTAAAGCACCAGATGTATGCAAAGTCAGGTCACGAACACTGCTCCCCAGACAGCCACCGAGTTGCAATCCAGAGGTTTTTGGGTTTTCGTTACTTAGTTCGTGATCACAAAGTCCGACAGAGTTTACCTTGTGCCGCGTGCCAAACAGCTCATGTCATTTTTAGTAACTTAAATGACATTTTATTATCGTACACATATGGTCTTGTGCTAATATTTTCTTTATTTAGATAACTCTTCTCTCTTGAGTGCCTACCCGTTCATATGTTTATAAAGAGTAATCAAGTTCCTTCTGTTTTGCTAGGCAAACCAAGCCAAAGGCTTTTATTCTTCCCTTACACTTTTGGCTCTCTGCTCCCCCGTTCATCTCACTAGCCCTCCCCTGCACCTGTTCCCATTCAAATTCATCTTTCTTGCATAGCGATGTTTTGAACAGCCATGTTGAAGGGTAACTAATATATTTAAATTTTGAACTCCATCCTATTTATAGACGGCGCAGAAAAACTAGTTCTGTGCCATGCTTTTTACAGTAACTTCTCTCTTGTCCCACGAGTTATTCAAGGGGCTTAGAGGCAGATACGCGGTAACCACAGACCCCAGCAAGTTTCAGAATATCGGAACACTTCACAAGCAGACTTCTACCTTTGTGCTGGTTCGTGAAGGTTTATTACACGTAAGGCAAAACAATAACAGCCTTGTGCAAGTGTCCCGATCACACCCATGAGTATTACCTCATTTTCTTGTATTTCCTCCCACCCCCTGCCCCAGATCAGCAGTCTTCCAATTGCAGCCTTTTATTTTAGGGGCGCTGTAACAATTTTCATGAGAGTACATGTTTTCTTCTAGACTCCTCCTAGATTCCTTACCACTGAGGCATAAGGAATAACAATCATAATCTAAAAGCTCTTACTTTTTTGTTTTGGAAACATTTCTCTAAGGCACGACAATGTTATTCACAAATCCTTAAGACAAACACGGCAATACAGCCGTGTAATTTTCTTTCTGTATTAAAAATTTCTGCCAACAAACCCAAACTTCCTGCTTTTTGCAAAGCATGACTCACATTCTCTATTCTGTTTTGACTGACATAAGAGATCTATTTCAATCATATGACAGTAACTTTAAATCTGACCAGCCATTTATGTGGAAATCAAAGCCTGTTCTTGCAGGATGGATGGATGTTAATGGGAATGGTGTTTTACATAACTCCACTAAAGATCTGCCTGCTTTTCTTGAAGAACTTGCTCCCAGATCGGCTAGGCCCAGCAGCAAAAGCCCAGCATGCCACCTCGTGGCTGCCCTGTACCAAGGGCCATTCGTAGTCCCCTGCAAAATGATCATTTATAGCCTGCCTTTTCCCCCAGGAGGATTCAGACCAGCAAAAAGCTGCATACGTTGTAATTAGTATACCAGCACCCTTGCTGATGCCTTTGGACAAGCAGAATAAAACCAAGCAATTTTTCATCCAACAGATCAAACCGGAGACGAGCAGTGAAGTAGGTGTTACTCAGAAGAAATGTCACTGAACTGGAGTTCGCAGGATAAAAAATCAGGTAGCAAGAATGTAATTGCTGGGAGACGACGGGCTTGGAGAGCCGCTGCCGACCAGAGAGCGAGCTGATCTGGGACGATGAGATGCTCGATCTTCCACTTGGTTTCTCCAGTGTGTTGGTGAAGTTTTACCTTCTTGGTTTTTAGCTGTTTCATGCCTTATCACGAGAGAGAGACATACAGTCAATTGGATAAACACATCTGACACCCAGAGGCTGCCGTGCCTTCGCTAGCATTTCACTCAGGTTAGCGCGCACTTCTGCAACAGGTGTAAGCTGGGCTAAGTCTCCCACAGAAGATGATCTTGCAGCCTTCCCACTCCCAACTGGTTGATCTTTCTGCCTTCCCCAGGAAAGGTGAAGGGAAACTGACCTTCGTTTTGTTGGTTGCTTTACCTTTCAGAAAAAAAACAGCTCTCTGCCAACACATGGAAGTAGCAGGAAAGCTTGGCAAGCGATGGACCGTAGGGTGGGAATGCCCCTTTTTTGGGGACACTGCTGTCGTAGACCAGAGCAGCTTAAGCCAGTTACAAAACTCCCCTTCAGAGAGATGTTATACGTTAAGTTTGGCTGAGCCAGTTCAGCCTCACTCACCTGGCAAAAAGAGCTTTTTTTTGCCTGCGTGGCAAGGTGAACCAGCACAGGGTCAGAGGAATGCCAGAGCCAGCATAAACTCTGTACCCAGGTTGAGAGCGGATGGTGACTGAAGGGAGTAAAGAGCAAGATCTTCCCTTTTTGTCAACAGCAAGCTGTTATCTCAGCTACCGTGTAATTTCCTAACGTGTAATTTCAGCCTCAGATGCAGAATTCAGCACCCAGAATCATGCAGCCACCCTTACCAGCCCGGCGGCCCTTCATAGTTACCACCCTGTTCGACAAGCAGAACGTCTGTTCAAACAAACCTGGTTCCAACACCTCCCTCTGCACGGGAGCAGACAGGATGAGAGTTGGCTCCCGGCGAGGCTTCGACACGGGACGAACGCAGGCTTGTACAAAAGGACTTTGAGCTGTTTGCAAACAGAGCTGGTTGTCGCTGAAACGTGAAGAAAATCCATTTCTAAAATGCCCAACGCCGTTTTTTTGTGCATAGGCAAGGCTCGGCACACCGTAAATGAAAGATTTTCCTGCATTCACTGGAAGTGTAACTCACCATGCTAACAGAAAGCGTTGCTAACAGAAAGCCCCGTTATCTGGAAGTGGCAATGTTTGCGTTCCTCCCGGCAGACGCACTGCAAGACGCTTTTCAACCCAAAGCCATCAGCCGCTGCTGCGAGGACACAAACAGGTTTATCGCCCCGTACCTAACTTCTGGACTAACGCTCCCCATTCCGGTGGGATGTGAGAGATGCCCACACGTAAGGATGGGCTTTGTGAATCGGCGTGAAACCCTAGTGACTGCTTTTTTTTTCATTTCAAGGAGCACTCAAACATTTAGGATACTGAATGGAATAACCTCAGACCCAGTCAGCTGCTCCTTCAGTTTTACCATTAATAATGCATCGTGAAAGAAATATATATCCCACTAGAAGCGTGTATTTACACTTTAAAATGTGTAACTTGCAGGAAAGATCGTTGCCAGCTACCAGAAAACACGGAACAACTGTACAGCCATCACGTGCTGCGCTTAACAGCGAGTGCCCTGCTCTGCGCAAAGGTAAGGCCTCACCGCACCGAGATAAGCCTGGGTAACGATAATAGAGTCTTTGTCAAAATATCACCCCATTGTTCAAAGACTGGTGTGCCGACCCAGGGAAAACAAAAGGAAACGTTTCTAGCCCTTAAAAATCACAGCAGAATCGCAGAGGTTGGCAACAAAACAAGTCAGTCATGCACAGAATTAAAAAAAAAAAAAAAAAAGCCAACGGCGGCTTTTCTGTTGCGCAAATAAAAAAAAAAAAAAATTGCGGTCTGACCTTGGGGTGAGTAGTAAGGGGTAACTACCTGCAAACCTCATCCACCTGGGTGGGATTGCAGCCTGGAGAGAGCCCGCGCGCGGGCTTCGCGTGGCTCCCCGGAGGGAAAACGCTGGTGCGGCGGTACTTGGAGGTTGATCTGCCTCCCTTAAGGTTTTTCACACATGGTTTCAGAATATGTTAACACAGGAGAGAGGGGGAAAAATGTGGCCAAAAAAAAAAAAAAAAAAAAAAGGTTTTTTTCTTTCTGGGAAGGAAGCCCCCGCGGGGTTTTTCC